GGGGCTGGGCGGTGAGGCCTGCGCGGCGGCCCGGGCAAAGAGGGAGGGAGGGAGCGCGGCCACAGGCGCCCCCCCGACGCGCAGGTGCGAGGACTACAAGTCCCAGCATGCCCTGCGCGCGCCCACCCCACCAATCCGCGGTCGGCGGGGGCGGGGCTTCGCCCCTCACGGCACTTCCCGGCCCTGCCTTGGGACCTGGAAGTCGCTATCGCACTTCCGGTGGCCTGTGTGAGGGCGTGCGGGCGGCAGTGGCAGCGGCAGTCCCTGGCTTCCCTTTCGCCAGCGGTCGTGGGCTCTGGGTCAGCCGCGCCGGAGAGTGGGGGAGGGGTGGCATGGTGTGGTAGGGGGTTCCCGTCGTGCCTTGCGTACGGGCGCTACCCGGCGTGCCGCGCGGGGGAGGGGCGGGGCTGGGGCCGTTTGACACTCGCCCAAGGTGACTTAGGGCCGGGAGCGCTGAGGTCCGCGCGTGGCTGCGCCGCACTAGAGGCTGCGCCCTCTCGGGGCCGCCCCCTCTAAATAGCCCCGGGGTGAAAGGTGGTGGTTGTCCCTTGTGGGGTTACGACCGTTAAGGCGGTTACGACTGTTAAAAAAGAGTGAGCGGATAGTACGCAGCGTTGAAGGGGCGGAGATGGAGGGGGATTGGGGGGGCTCTTGGCCTGGGGCAGGTCACCTTGGCTGGGAGTGTCTGGCCTGGCTGGCTGCTGAGAAGTGCTGAGCCCTAGTGTCACGGTGCCTTTGGAAGCCAGGGTGTGTTTTGCTCTCTTTAGTTCGGGGAATTCAGCCCTCTGTCTTCCCCTGGCCCACAGGAGCTTGGTCTGTCCTCTTGTGCACAGGGCCATGTGAGAGGAGCACAGCAAACTTACAGCAAAAAGCACAAGAGGCGCTTGTCCTGCGTGCAGTGGGGCTGAGACTCTTCCCCTGTTCTTTACCCTTACACGAACTCTGAAGTAGAAAAAGGAAAGAGTTGGTGAAAGAGCCTCCTTGTTACGTTCTGCTCATTTTTCAGCGTCACCATGGTTCTCCAGCAGATCTTCAGGCTTTCTTCCCTCTTCCGTCTTGCCAGCGCCTTGCACTTGCGAAGGAACATTGGGCTTTCTGCCATTGCGTTTAACAAGGCAAAGGAGCTGGATCCGGTTCAGAAGCTCTTCGTGGACAAGATTAGAGAATACAGTGCAAAGCGCCAGTAAGTAAATGGCAGTAATTTTGCCACAAACAAAACCCTTTTGATGAGGTAAAGGGAATGGTAAAGAGAAAGGTGTAACAAATGTCAGAATGGGGATTGCTCTCATTAATGGGCATGATTAGGCATACAGAACTCGCTAGCTAGAATGGGTGGGAGTTTTGAAATGCCCGTTTGGGTGGAAAATAATTGACTTTGTGTGATCAGTTCTAAAAGTTCAAAATTTCATCCAACGTTGAGGGCAGTCATCTTTTTTAGAGCAAGGACTTGGTTTTGGATCTTCCAAACTTTAATTAGTTAGTGCCCTCACTTTTGAGACTGGCTAACTGTTCCTGTGTGGGTCTCTTCATCTTTTTTCTGTTTGGAGCTGTTGTTCAATACAAAAATCAATGGATGTTCCTTGTGTTGCAAGGAGAGACTGAGTATAACCTGATTGAGCACTTAATCTCAGATGGAAGAGACCTAGGGTAGTCCCCAACCATTGGGCAGACCTAAGACATCCTTCTTAACTTGTTGGACTGTCTCACATTTGTTTGCAAGGCACCCTTATTTTTGTTCTGATGTGGAATAAAAACAAGATTTTGTAAAGATTTAATTTTTGCTTTTCTGATAACCTTATTGTTAGCATCACTGTGGAAAGTAGGTGGGTCTTCCATTCTTGAAGCCCAAGTGATATTTTTTTAAACAAAGCTTTTGCTAAGCAACTTGAATGATGCATAAAGGAATGATAATAAATGCATTCAGTTGCAGTTTCCATTTCAGGATTAATTTAGGGAAATTAAGTGCCCTAATTTGGTTCTTAAGAGTCCACATATTTCTGGATTTATTTGACATCTCTTACTGCTTCATGGAGCCATACTTGAGAATAGAATCAGAAAATCAGGGTGGGAAGGGATGTCAGGAGGTCATATAGTCCAACACTCTGCTCAAAACAGGACCATCCCTAACTAGATCATCCCAGTCAAAGCTTTGTCTAGCTGGGTCTTAAAAACCTCCAAGGATGGAGCTTCTGCCACCTCTCTGGCTAACCTGTTCCAGTGTTTTACTACCCTTCTAGTGAGAAAATTCTTCCTAATATTTAACCTAAATTTCCCTTGCTGCAACTTGAGATCATTGCTGCTTCTGCCATCTGCCACCACTGATCATCAGCTTCATCCTCTTTTGAACCCCACTTCAGGTAGTTGAAGGCTTCAATTAAATCCCCTCTGTCTTCTCTTCTATAGACTAAATAAGCCCAGTTCCCTCAGTCTTTCCTCATAAGTCATGTTCCCCAGCCCCTTCATCATTTTTGTTGCTCTTGTCTATATCCTTTCTGTGGGGGGGGGTGCCTAAAGCTGAACACAGTACTCCAAATGTGGCCTCACTAGTGCTGAATAGAGGGGAATAATCACTTTCCTGGACCTACTGGTAACTTGCCTACTAATGCAGCCTAGGATGCCGTTAGCCTTCTTGGCAACAAGGGCACACTGCTGGCTGATTGAGTTTGTCAGCTGTAACTCCCAGGTCCTCTTCTACAGAGCTGCTGCCCAGCCAGTCAGCTCCCATCCTGTACCAGTACATGGGATTGTTCCATCCATAGGGCTCATAAGCTTGCTTAGGTGTGCATCAATAGATAACTCGGACTGCTACAGGTGCCTAAAATATTTTATTTGCTGACTAGAC